ATCGGAATGCCTAGCTGGAGGCCGCTTCTAATCAGTAATATTAATGTATAATTAATATTACAGCTTAATCTTGACTGAACCCTTCGGGTCACACCCAATCGTGTAACCGAACTGAAGCGACGAATTAATCCGAAGGATTAAATGAGTCAATAGAGATTTTACGAAGTAAGACGTCGGATTCCGAGCTTAGAGCGTCGAAAGTCGAGTCGAATTTAGGAATCGACTAGACGGAAAAATCAGTCAAACAACAAGTCAACATGCACGAAAATCCTAGCCTCGTAATGGCCTAACCATACGAGGGTTAGGTAGGCTAGCATGGCTAGTCGAGGTTCATGCCACAAGGCCAGCACTCGCCGCAAGTCGAGCTTGGTGCGCGCACGCACAAGCTAGGGTTACTGGATGAGTGTGTGGCGCTAACACTAGGCCACTAGCAGCCATGCAAGGCGCAGCGTGCTAGGAAGCTTAGCGCTGTCGCAAGCTCGCACCCGCATGGCCTGCTAGCAGCATGCAGCAGCCCACTAGCTAGCAAGGCTTGCTGGTGCTTGCGGGCAAGGCCGTTGGGCTTGCGACAAGCCAGCCAGCAGCGCATAGCAGCCCAGCTAGCTAGCGGTGGGCTTGCATTGCGTGCACGCCGGCCCAGTCGAAGCCACAAAGGCCTTGACCGGCCATTCCTTGTTGCCCAAGGATATTGACTGGTCTTGCCTTATTGTGATTGGTGGGTTTGGTGGCTTGGGGAACAAGGAGGCCGCGTGGTTTGTCCTTGTGGTCCTCACCTAACCCCTTGCTCACCTTATGCCACTTGTTGTTTGATGATTACCTTGCCATTTTAATTTTATTTAAAATTAAATTAAATCTTACTTTTGGCATTTTACCAACTATCCCACATTGAAAGATGATGAGCATTCTAGGGGACATTTCCCTATGAATACCAATCACTTGGTCTTGGGAATTTCACTTGAGTTAATGAACCCTAAGGGATCTCCAAAAGCGAGAAAACCTTAGTTTGTAAACACTAAGTTATTTTTGGTCTAGCCCCGTCTAAGCTACGGGGTAGGGACCGGTTCGGTAATCGAGGGTGTGAGACGTTAGAGGTCTTACATTTGCGGGGGTTGAAGTTTTCCTAGTCCGAGCTCGATTAGTGAGCGAAGCACACGTCTAGGGTGAGCTTCTTTCTCTCTCTTCTCTTTATGTGTTTGTGTTTTATTTGTTTACATGCTATTTTTTTTTTGTTGTAATTATTATGCATGCGATCCGGTTTTCGAGTTTTGTTTCCGCGCGGTGTCGGACACCGCAAAACCCAACAATACGCTGCCGAAAGCAACGACACAGAATAACAGCCACAACAGCAGCGTGCAACTCTTGCACGGCTGCTACCCAACCATCTTGGACCACCTGCCCTCCCCGCCCCTCCCTCTTGGACCAGCAGCGGCTATTCTTTTTTTGATTTTTAATTTAATTAAAAACAACACTTGTTTTTAAATTAAACTAGTCCAAAATTAAAATCAAATCCCAATTCAATTTTAAAACTAAGGTTCTTCATGAAATTAATCCCAAATTAATTTAACACTTAAAATAATTAATTGATCATGTAAAACTCATAATTTAAACATCAAATCAATGCTATTAAAAACATGAAACATATTTAATTCGAAATCGAACAAAACAAGCACATAAAATCAGATTTTTAGGGCATATTAGGTTCGAAATTTTCGAAAGTATTAGGGTTAGGGTTCGAAATTTACGAATTCACTAGGGCAAATTTTCGGTCCTCTTTATGGCTATTTTGAGCAAATTAAATCACATTTAATCAATTCTAAAATTTAAATCACATTTAATATAAGAATTGAAACATAATTAAATTATTCTCCCTCTTAATTGATTATAAAATTATGAACATGGACTTCAAATAATCGTATTATTATAATCAAGCGTGTTCATGCAAGAGGCTAATTGATACCACTGTAGGGATTTATGTATTCTAAGTGGAATTTCATGAATCATATTCATATACACCTAAAACAAGATCGCATGCATAACACACAAGAATCACATAATTATACCTTTGAAGCGTGGTTTTTATGTAGCAAATTTATTGGCAATTAGGTAGAGAATAGAGCCCTAAGTGTTGCTCCTCTACATAGTCCATGGGATTTGAATGAGCCGTCCACCAATACGAGATTGGTCGAGTGAAGGGGAAACACCGCGATCACCACCTTTGCGGACAACCGGAACCACCACGAACCACCACCACCACCGTGCACCAACCGGCGCAAGGAGAGAGAGAGAGAGAGAGAGAGAGAGAGAGAGAGAGAGAGTTTTGAGGGATTTGGTCTCGTGTTTGCTAGCTCGGATTTTCGATTACCAAAAAACTGGTCTTAGGAAAAACCGAGGCACCTAGTATATTAATAATCCTATTATAATTAGACTAGGAACAAAGCCCAAATCCTCCACACTCTTCCGTGTGGCCGACCACCTAGAGGGAATAGGCCCATCATGGACCTCTTTCTCTAATGCTCAATCTAGGCCCTTTGTGTGAACTTATAGGATCCGTTCTATTGAACTTTAGACTATTTTAATAGCCTAAAGATTGCTAGTACCTCTAGTTATGATATAATGACGACTCAAAAGAACGAACTTAATCATCTCCATAATTTGATCCATTATATATCTAGTAATTGCACTTGACGAAGACATAAATCCTTTAGTATATACTCTAATTGTAAAAAATGTTCCCAATTTGAAAGAACATTGGAATGGTATTTGAACATTGTTGTTGATGTTATTCTTCGTAATATTGCATTACTCTTGCTAAGTACAGTGATATGGAGGGTTTCATAATTTGGAATCTTTCTAATCATGGTAACTTTAAGATCAGCCTATCATTTTATGCTTAAGAAGCATTGTACAATCTCCTCAGTTTCATAAGAACAGGTACTGACACGAATACGAGTACCAATCTCTCTTCTTATAAGAGCATAAGTACAAACCATTCCTTTGAACTTGTGCTCATTCTGTTCTCCCAGTGGCTGAATCTCTAGCTTTGCATATGCCCCTTATTTCCTCTATTTGTACAAGATGCAGTCTTTATTTTGAATCTCATATTCATATTTTCTAGGTCTGTTTATCATCTTCTATCCTTTGGAATGATAATTCTGAAAAGCTTCCTTTACCATAAAATTTTGTTTTTGTTCGTTTCAAAAATTGCTCTAGGTCGGATTGACTAAACTATTACTACTCCGTTTTATATTAGATGCAACTTTGGAATATTTTATATCTCACAAATAATACCTCAAAGTTGCAACTAATATAAAACGGAGGTAGTACTTAAGTTTAAGAATTGGGAAATCATTTTTGTTACGGCTTTATGTCACATTTGGAATCATATAAATAAGAACATCTTTGAAAATAAATTCTTAAATCCTATCTGTCTTTATATTAAGTTTTTCTTGGATTATTAGTTCTCTAATCACATTATGCAAGGTAAGGGCAAGGAGAAAGTGGAGTCCAATAGTGCTAAAGGGAGTTGGTGTCCTCCCAAGGATGGTTACTTCAAGTTGAACTTTGATGGAGCATAGCTTAGCAAAGATGTTGCTGGTGGAGGGGTAATAAGACGCTCAAATGAAACCTGGTATGTGGGGTTCTTAGCCAAATACAATCCCATAAACCCCCTGGCTGCTGCTGAATTGTATGCTATCAATGATGGTTTGACCATGGCTAAGGAGCTAGGAGTTACAAAGATCAAGGTTGAAGCTGATGTTGTATCACTCAAGTTCATGTTGCTTACTACGAAAAGTAATCCTCAGTCCTCACCACGAATTTGCTGCTGCTACTTGTGATGGTGCTGGAATGATTTGAGGCTTTGAGGAAGTTGTTGTCACTCATATTCCAAGGGATAAGAATGAATTAGCTCATAGACTTGTGGTCTTTGGAAGGAACATGGTTGTAGGCCATAAAACGCATTTCTTGGTGCTAAACTGTGTACAGGAAATGTATGAAGTTCAGTTGGCTAGTGTCACTATTCAAACCGGAGCTTAAGTTATGTTGGCATCTTGTTGCTGGATGGATTAGCAATTGGTGGAAGATCTTTTGCTGTAATATAGGCTATGATTATGTTTTAATTTGCTAGTTGGTTTTTGTGTAACCACGCTTTCTCAGTTGTATTATAATTGGGTGGTTATTGTAAATTTGTAATGATGAACTTTATTATGTTCTATGAATATAATCTTTGAAATTGTGTTAAAAAATGATGAAACATTTTTAGTTGAGTGATATTACTATTGCCCACCTATTATGTATATTATTTGTGAAGCATCAGGTGAAAAGGTTAGTCTACAAAAATCACGAGTCTATTACTAAAAAAAGGTGACTTTGGAGAATAGTGCATAAATTAGTGAAGCTTTGGGTATGGAAGCAATAGAGGACCTCGGGACATACTTAGGAATGCAAGCTTTTCATCTCGAGTAACCAAAAAAACTTTTGCTCATCTTTGTGAAAAAATTGATAGAAGATTAACGGTGTGGAAAACAAAATATTTGTCTCTGGCTAGGGGTGAAAGTGATATAGATTAAAACCGCAAACCGAACAAAATTAACAAATCGGATCGTTTTTTTGGCAATTCGGTTTGAATTGTTTTGAGATTTTAAAAAATTATAGATTGCGGATCAATTTCAATTTTGGGCTTCAGAAAACCAAAAATCGAATTTCCAAACCGAATTTCTAATAAACGCCCAATTACTCTAGCCCATTTTCCTTTCATATATAAACCAAAACCCTAATCCTTTTTCCCCTCTTTTTTTTTCCAGTCTGTCACTCTTTTCTTGCGGCAACATTGCTTGTTTCTTCGAACGTTTTTCCAATTTGAGCTCTAAACGTAAACTAATGACAAAAATGGTTGCGTGGCAAAACTATTTACCAAACTAAGCTTCCAGGGTAAATCGCTGTCTCGGACAGCGTTTTACCCCTGGTTTTTTTTAAAAAAAAATTCAACTACAACTATTTTATATGTTCAACATAAAGCGCTGTCTCAGACAGCGCTTTATGCTTGAACATAAAACGCTGTCTCAAACAGCGCTTTATGCTTGAACATAAAGCGCTGTCTCAGACAGCGCTTTTCTGCTGGAAACAGCAACCAGCATCCAGGCAGAAAACAAGCTTCAGCAAACAGCTTGCATGCTGCAGTCCTCCAACAGCCACCACAACAACCAGCTCCACAGCCCTACCCCACCACCGTCGACCACCAACTCCGCCACTCCCCACCACGTACCACCACCATATTCTGGGAGTTCCGTCAACTTTAAGCACTGCAGAAAACTCGAAACAGCCCAACAACAGCCCAACCACCAAATTAACTTCAAAGCACACACGGAGTCATTCAAAAAAGATTTATTATATTAATTTCATAAGTGTTATGTACATCATTACACAAAATAACAGGGAATACAACAGATAATACTAGCCCGACTCATTTATTCGGGGTAAAGGTCCTGCCTCCTGAGTGTCGGCCCTCCGTCTGACACGTCGCCGCCTGTAATGAGTGACGGTGGTGAATGGGTCTCGGGGCGGTGGGGGAGTCAGCTGACTGGACGAGGGGTCCTCCTGGGTACCAGAGGGCGCAGTACTGTGGATGTTGTAATCCTCTGCGTGTCTGGGTGACGTAGGATCACATCCACCGCTGCTCTGGCCGAGATCGAACTGTGAGTTGCCATCATGACCGTCCCGCCGGTGGGCGAGATGAGCGTGACCATATCTCCGTAAGGTAGCGACGCCCATATCTCGCACCTGCTCGACCTGGGCTCTAGTGGGTCCGCACTCAAGGGAGACTGATAGCGCATCAACCATCGCCACCATATCCGCCGCCTGCAGTAATCATCGATCAGTCAGATCTATGGCATACAAATATGGAAATTGTTGAAAAGGAGTAGAAAAATAATAACTCACATATCCGCTAATGATGTCATATGCTGGATGGTAATGTGTGGATGGTGGTGCGTAGCTGGGGTTGATGAAGCGTCGTGTGATACGCCTGTACCACACCATGTACGGATCGTCGGGATCCATAGCCCCCTGCATTAGATCACCTCCAACGATGAACTCCAACCGTTGCTCCCATAGCTGAAGGAAACGCCAATGCTCCAGCGCCCAGCTGGTCTCCCCCTTTCCCCGACGATCAATGCCGTGAAGCTGTACACTAGTGTCACACCCCTGTGGGATAGTCTGCCTGGTCTGCCTACATGGATATGCTCCCAAGCCCAGAACTGGCACACAGAGACACAAAACTAGCTTCAGTATGAAATATGTAAGTGCGTGGTGAAATAGTTTTTTTGGTACAGAAATAAGTGAGGTACCTGGAGGAAAATCAGGGGACCTCGTAACGTAACGGTCGTCTCACCAACAGGTAGGTGGAAGGAGTGCGTCTCCTGTCTCCACCTCTCCGCGAGCGCAGTGACAAGCGCTCGATCGATCTCCCTATACGCCATACGGTGAAAACCACCTAAACCGACAAACTCGACGTACGCCAAAACGCGAGGATCGATTTCCCACCCCACCATGAACCTGGTGGTGTAATGCCTGCAAACGAGCTGCTTTGCCGGATCAACCTGTTAGAAAGAAATTAAGATCATATACCATATAAACTCAACAAGCTGTAGTCCATGAACAAACAAATGCAATATTACCGTCTGATCCCATACGGCAACGCTGCGGTGTGTGCCCTGTAGTGTAAGCACAGAAGGGTCAACGGGTCCAGGCGTACGATCTTCACCGTCCATCGTATCTGTTCACATGCAATTAACCAAAATGTTAACGATCAAATGTTCCAAATGTTATTAAATCAAAATGTTCCAAATGTTATTAAATCAAAATTTTCTATTACAAAATAATTCCTCCATCTACGATTACAACGAATTTCAGTTAACAGTCATGGGTCCTCTAGTGTTAGTGGTTCCATATTTCCTCCATACTACTATGAACCTCATTCATCAAATCATTCATAGTCATGTTCGGTTCTAGTGTTAGTGGTTCCATATTTCCCCCACTATACTCGACCCGGGGTCCATCAAACAGAATTTCTCCTCCCCACCGGCATAACAAAACTACATTTTGTGACGCCATATTCTACATAACCAAAACACATTTTAGGATTATCGAAATCTAGAGCGAGGTAAATTATCAACACTGAAATAAGACTCTTCTCACCTATAACAACTTCACTTTCAACAACTTCACCAATTTCAACAATTTCATGAACAATTTGAATTATTTCAACAATTTCAACCTAAACTATTTCAATAATTTCAACAATTTCATCTCTTCTCACCAATTTCAACCATTAACAACTTCAACATTTTCACCATCATCAACTTCACCAATGTCATGAACAATTTCAATAACAATGTACCACATCACCATCAATAATTATCAACAATGTACCACATTTTCATTAATAATTAGCAACAATTACATGCAATTGACATGAATTAACAACAAGTAAGAGCAATTACATACAATTCACAATAATTAACCACAATAACTATGCAATTACACTAAATTCAGTTTAGGGCTAACCACGAAATTGAGTGAGTGAGTGTGAGAGGGAGGAGGGCAGCAGCAAGGTGGCGGCAGCAGCGGTGGCGCAAGGGTGGGCGGCGGCGGCAATGCGGGTGTTTGAGTACGGTCGTGGTTTAGTGTGAGAGGGAGGAGGGAAAGCGTTGAGGTTGAGGTTGAGTTCTTGCGCATTCTGCTGAAGTGAACATGCTGATATATGGCCATGAAACGCTGTCCCGGACAGCGTTTCATTAAAAAAAAAAAAACAGGGCATAAAACGCTGTCTCGGACAGCGTTTTACCCATTGAATTTTTTTTAAAAAAAACCCAAGGATAAAACGCTGTCCGAGACAGCGTTTTATGCCCTACTGAATTTAAAAAAATACAGAAGGTAAAACGCTGTCTGGGACAGCGTTTACCAGTTGAATTTTTTTTTAAAAAAAAAACCAGGGGTAAAACGCTGTCCGAGACAGCGATTTACCCTGGAAGCTTAGTTTGGTAAATAGTTTTGCCACGCAACCATTTTTGTCAATAGTTTACGTTTAGAGCTCAAATTGGAAAAACGTTCTGTTTCTTCTCTTTCCTCACTAAGTCACTGCCTTGTGACCACCGCCACCACTCAACCTCTCACTCTTCTCCGATCCAATGGTCCCGCGCTCTTCTCTGCCGTTCCCTCACCACCGCTCCCTTTCTCACCCTCAGTCAGTTAGTCTTCTCTGACGGTCCCCACCACTACTCGCCGTCCGCTCCCTTTCTCATTCTTTAATTTGTTTTTAATTATAATCTGGACGCTAAGCTAGTGTATGGATTTCTTGTTAGGTTTTGATTTTGCTTGAATTTAGAACGGTGGTGTATGGATTTACTTGGTAGGTTTTGATTTTGCTTGAATTTCAAATGGTGGTGTATAAGTTTGCTTGTTTGGTTTTGATTTTGCTTTAATTTCGAATGGCGGTGTATGGATTTGCTTGTTTGGTTTTGATTTTGCTTTAATTTTGAACGGGGGTGTATGGATTTTCTTGTTTGGATTTGATTTTTCTTGAATCTCGAACGGTGGTGTATGGATTTGCTTGTTTGGTTTTGATTTTGCTTGAATATCGGTTCAGTTTGGATTCACTTTCCAAAACCGAATTATTTCGATTTGGATTGGATTGAATTCAAATTCGGTTTGGATTTGGTTTCAAAAATTCAAAACCCAATTAATTCGGTTTAGATTTGGTTGGTGTAAAATCCAAATCGAATACCGAACTTTCACCCCTATCTCTAGCAAGTAGAATCACCCTTACAAAGTCTACTGTCACTTTTCTTGCTAACTACTCAATGCAGTATGTAAAAACTCCACCTCAATATGTGATACCATTGACAAAAAAGCACGGAGATTTCTTTTATTTTGGGATACTTTACAGCTGCCAAGAAACAAGGGTGGGCTGGGTATTAGGTCTGCTTGCCAATCGAACTCGACTTTCCTCACGAAGTTGGGATGAAGGGTGCTATCTGAACCAACTTCCTTGTGGTCATGTGTTCTCATATCTAAATACTGTCGGGGTCGTTGTGACATTGATATGTTCACCACAACATCAAGTATGATCCCAAAACACCCTAAATGGGATCTTGCGTGGACTACTATGGTTCAACAAAGGGCGCGAGTAGTTCTCTGGTTGGTGCTGCATAATCGAGTTCTATGCAACACTAACAGGCTCAAACGAGGCCTAACAGATGATCCAAGATGCATTAGATGCGATGGGAATGCTGATGAATCTAAATTGCACACTCTAAGGGATTGCCCTGCTGCTACAACAGTATGGAAGAGTGTTGGAGCCATTGCCAACTATCCTTCCTTCTAGACTGGTAACCTGGAGCAGTAGGTAACACGCAACCTAAAGGCTAATGGATTAATGTATTCTGACAAATGGCCTACTTGCTTTGCTCTTACATTGTGGTGGAAGTGGAGATGGAGAAATTCTACAATTTTTGGTAGAGAGAATGACATACCTTTGTATACAGTTGAGTTTATTAGTAGCCAAGTTGAGGATGTTTGGAATGCCTTTCACAATCCTAAACATATCAGCATTACTGTCACTAGGGATAATCAGCAACCTAGAAGAAAAATTTTTGTTAGATGGCAAGTACCCCCACTGACTGGACAGTGTTGAACTCAGATGGAGCTGCTAAAAGCACCTCAGGTGCATTTTTGGAGGATTTGCTACCAACTTTGGGGTCTGTATAGCATACAAAGCAGAGCTTCTAGCTGCTGAATTCGGGCTTGAACTAGCTATGAGAAAGAAAATAAACAAGCTCGTTCTACACATGGATAACCAAGCTTGTATTGAAGCATTGAAGAATCCAAAATCCAAGGAGGAGAATTGTCTAGAACTACCCGCAAGATAGGCCCATTTGTGAACAACTACCCATTATTTTTTTTTTGTTTACAACTACTCGCAAGTTTGAAAAAGTTTGGGTAGCACTACCCATTAACGTTTTCCATCCAAAAAACCGTTAGTGGGTCCCACATTGTACAAGTGTCATTTTTTTATTGGATAAAAAAAAAGAAAAAAAATCAGAAAAAAACCACTACCGGCAACCATGAACTGTCGCCGTCAGCCCCAAAACCCTAACCCAGCCCCATCGTCAACACCCCCAGCCACCGAAAAACCCACCGGAGCCGACCTCAAAGCAACCCAGCCACCGAAAAACCCACCTAACCCATCCTTGAAACACCCCAGCTATTTACACCCCAAACCCCTAATATGGTCCCGGAACCCCAGCCACACCTCCACCACCCCGAAACCCCACCCCCCTTCTCTCTCGCCGCCATTTCTCCGTTGATGCCGGCCCCCCTCCCCTTCCCCTCCTCTTCCCAAACGCATTAAAACACCATTAAAGCTCCGTTGAAGCTCACTCATGAAAGCTTGAGGAACATCATTTCTTCACCAAATTTTATTAAACTTGTACCAAAATGTTCACAATTCAACATACAATCAATTAGAGCAAACAATTTTGTGAATTGCTTCACCAAACTAAAAAAACCCCAATTCAATTTTTTTAGGGTTCTTCACAAAAATTGGTGGTGATTGGAGTTTAGGCTGGTGGTGATGGTGGTTGTTTGGTGTTGTGGGCTGTGGGTCTTCCAGTGGAGAGGGAAATGGGGTTGTTGGGTTTCGGTGGCCGGTGGGCAGTGGGGATGGGGTGGTCAGGGAAAGAGGGTGGGGTTGGGTTGGATTTTCTGATTTTTTTTTTTTATTATTTTTTTATCCAATAAATAATTGACACGTGTATAATGTGGGGCCCACCAACGGTTTTTTGGATGGAAAACGTTAATGGGTAGTGCTACCCAAACTTCTTCAAACTTGCGGGTAGTTGTAAACTAGTTGAGGGTAGTTGTTCACAAATGGGTCTATCTTGCGGGTAGTTCTAGAAATTTTCCCTTTGAATAATTGTCGTTTTCTTTTAAGTTTGTCCAAGCGGTCAGTTCGTATAGTTCATTGTTATTGTGAGGGAAATAAAGTAGTTGATAAATTAGCTAATCTAGGAGTCATCAAAAGGGAAACGGTTGTTTATTTCGATGTTGCACCACCGAAAATTACCTCCCTTCTCCGTGAGGATATCATAGGAGTGGCCTTGCCACGTTTAGTTGCTTGGTGAAAAATGCTTACTCCTTTTTTTGTAATAGGAAAAAAACCATTGATTTCAATATATATGCAAAATACTAGTAGAGGTGCCAAAAACCAACCCGACCCACAAAAAAAAAACAAAAGTAAATAAAAATTTGTTTCGAACTCTAATCGACCTAATTTGACCCAAGAATGAAATTCAAGACCCAAACCCAATCTCTAACTGACCTGAACTCAACTTAAATTTGGTCCGATCTAAACTTTACTAGACACCAATTTGATTTGACCTAAACTCAACCTGCCATTGATTTGACCTGAATTGAACTCAAACCGACGCCAATTTGACCCGAATTGAAGTCAACCCACCTCGACATTGACCTAAACAAAAGAAGTTATGGAAGACATAAAGCACAACCAACAAGTTAAATATTGTTGTTTAATTTTTCAAACTCTTTGAAGCGCCAAAAGAAGAAGTTGGTGACAAGTGTCACTAAAAAGTGAAAAGTAACTGCAATGCATAATTGCAATCTAAAATCTCTATATAAGATGTAAGAGACATTAGAATCAGGGACATTGAATTAAATAATCAACACTGAAATTTACAATTCTTTAAGCTTCATAGTTCTTAGTTCTTTAGCACTTTAGGTTTAGTAACCCAGATTAGTTTGGTGTTAGCAACACCATTAGTATGATATAATCTCTTAAAGCAGTTGCCCATTTTTGATTGTGATTAATCATGGAGGTAACTTTTCCTTCTTGCATCTAATTCAATCGTAAGCCTGTTGATACCCTAAAATTTCCAACATACTTGTATTTGTGTTCTCATTTAAATGATAATTAATCTTTGTAATTTTGGTAATCATATATTGCTCGTAAACTAGCAACTAGCGTCCCTAACTTAATGATCGGTATTTTTTAAGGACACACTCCTAAATTACTCTTGCCCTTCGTAGGGTTATATTGACTTGCTTACATTTTTACACCCACACAACCCCTTTAATCTTTCCCTCCAATTCACATTATCATTCCACTTTAACTTCAAAAAATTTACAATATTGCCAGTTTCTAGAAACAGAATGCTCCTACGCGTGTTAGGGTAGGGTATTAAGATGTCCTAAATCTACGTCCAATTATTGTCCAAAAGTCAGAGAGCTTCGCCTTGTAAAGGTATGTCCGAGGGCTCCGCCTTGATTTCCGAGGGCTCCGCCTGCAAAACAGAGAAGGTTAGCTGCCCCGGGGTGTGACCCGGGAAAGCCCCTCCGATGCTTAAGTCAGCGAATGTACTTTTTAAAGAGAGAAAGTAGAGAGAGAAGGATAGAGGATTAGAAAAAGTTGCCGTTAATAATGATTGGAGAGCTATTTATAATTGTACTTTTAGGTGGAAAAGTTGTACTTAGTGAAGGGTAAATCCGTACTTTGTAATGATTAATGATGAGCTAAAACATGAAGGGATATTTCCGTCATTTCAGCTCACTGTACTTAGGACAATGGAAAATAGACTAGGCCCAAACATTGCCATTCTATACATTAGCAAATCTCACACATTGTGTCTGTTCATTAGACTTCCAAGTTGGGAGCTTGGTATTTCAAAAAAAAAAAAAAAAAAAAAAACATTATTAATTAATGCCTTTCTACCAAAT